AAGGGCCTCCTTCCACCTTGAGTGTCTGAAGCGGCAGAGGAATCATGGGGGAGATGTCTCTCAGAAGACGGTCCTGCCCTTGCACCTGGTTCACCATCAGGTACCCACACTTTGGGAGGGCCGCTGGCCACCACCTGGCAGGCTAGACCACCCCTGTGAGCACCCGCAAGTCCCCGAGATGCCCGTCAGCCAGCCTTTCCTGTCTCAGACCCCTGCTGCAGCCCCACCCCTGGCCCTAGGAGTGCCCAAGTGAGGGGCTCTTCCCACGCAGAAGAGCCTGAGCAAGGGCCGTGCTCCCATGGCTGGAGGCCAGGGGTCCTGGGGAGCAGGAGCCCCTCCGAGGCTGGAAGGACCAGCAGCTCAGGATCAGCCCAAGCTGTCTCCTTCCAGGGGCTGGATGTTCCCTCCCCAACACCGGCTACTCTGCAGGCAGATGGGGTTGTCCCAAGACATGCAGGACAACTGGACAAAAATCCACCCACTGAGATGTAGAAATGACCAGCGGGTCCTCCAGCAATCTGGCCGGGGCGGGAGGAGGCCGGGAGAGCAGGTCCGGGCGGTCCAGCAGCTGAGCCGTCCTGCGGCCTGCTGACGCACCTGAGATGGCGAAATCCAAGACTCTGGCTTCAAGTGTATTCTGGTGCCTCAGACCAGCCAGGAACTTGGAACAACTGAACCACTGTCTGAGGCCGGCCTCTCACAATTAGGCAAATTAGAGTCTCCACGAGACTTTCCCAAACTTTTCCCTCCTTTATTACACACTCTCTTACCATTGGCCTTTCCTTTAAGTGACCTTTTTCACCCCAAAGGCATTCAGTGCCAATCAAGGCTTATAAACAGCTTACCGGCGTGATGTTACGGCAGCTGACGCCAGCACGCTGTTTGCTCCGCCTGCAGCCCCGCCTGCATGCGCCTGGCCCCCCCAGGGCTCTCTGGGGCACCGAGCATGTCCCCAGGCCCCTGGCTGGGGACCCACAGCGGCAGTGGGCGGGGGAGGCCAGCAGGCTGGGGGTCCCGCGTGTGCTCTTCTGAGAGATTTCTAGAGTTGGCTTCACCCAGCTCCTCCTGTCATGCTGGGAGGAAGACGCTCCCTCGTGTCCGCCTTCCATCTGGTCCTTGTGCTTCCCCCTCCACGCACAGCCACACCCCCTCCTTCTGCCTCTTGGGCTGGGCGTCCCCACCCCCCAGTGTCACCCCCATGGACACGTCACATCAGAGCAGTCCTCAGGTTGGGCGGAGGACACGAGCACGTGAACAGTTCAAGCACAACACAGCGTGAGGTTTGAGCGGGAGTTCGGAGGCGGGCCGAGCGAGACGGTCCCGACCGGTGCTGTGAGGACGGGAACCCGGAGCGGTGGGCCTGTCCGGCTCTTTGCGATGCACAGAATACGTCCCAGACCTTAGTTCATGTGACTCTCACGTCGACCCCGGGAGGGAGGTGGACAGAGGGCAGTGTTCTGGTTTCATGGCGACGCAGGCGTGACTCTCTCCAGTCTAACCAAAAGCGGGAGAATCCTCACTGACGGGGACGAGGCCAGGTGAGCTGGAGGCTGCTGGGCCCCAGCTTTCTGAACGTAGGGGAGGAAGGATCACC